TAGTTGGACACAATGCCTTTTTTTACTTATTTATTTTTATGTGGTGCTGAGGATTGAAGTCAGGGCCTTGCATATGCTAGGCAAGTGCTCTACCACTGAGCCACAATCCCAGCCCCTCCTTGGTGATCATAATGTGCACTCCTAGCTAAGAACCGAGTGTGACCACCACCACCAGTTTTAGAGGGGCTTAGCCTGGACCTGACTCTCACTATGTTGATCATGGGACACTGAGAAAGTGATCTTAGAATAGATGTACTTCTCAGTGTATAACAGTCAAAATGCAAAGTCCCTACACAGGGTTGCATGAGGCGTTAGTGAGGTCATAGAGTAAATGTCCACAGATCCACTCACTCAGTTCCCACTCACCCACTCCTGCACTCATTTAGTCCATTTTCTCAACATTGAATGAGCATCTCCATGAACCCAGCCCTAGGGACCCAGAGGTCAAGCTTAGGCAGGGGTCATTCATTCTCACCTCATGTGGTGACGGTTGGTCTTTGTGACATCTGAACCCAGAGACAGCCTGTAACCTCTGTCCATTGGCTCCAACCAGGAATCAGTCACAGCAAAAATGACACCTGCCATTGGCTGTAGCTCAATTATATGAATCTGTAATATCCCCACACGTGTTGGGTCTTAGCCTGCTCAGGCCGCTCTAACAAGTTACCACAACACAGGTGCTGAAGCAGGGCACATATTTCCCACTGTGGAGGCTAGGAAGCCCAAGACCAAGGTGCCAGGAGAATTAGTTCTGGGGAACGCCCTCTCTGGCTCTGCAGATGGCTAACCTCTTATTGCCTCCTCACAAGCGCAGAGCAGGTGCACCACCATCTCTCCTTAGAACAGCACTAACCCCACTCAGGGGCTCCACCCTCAGCTCCTCATTACCTGCCCAATCCCAGCTCCAGATGCCATCACATGGGGTACCAGAGGTTGCACATATGAAATGCAGGAGACCTAAAACCTGCAGTCCATGACAATCCTGTAAAGGTGGCTGTGGTGTTCCTCACGACTGCAACCTCAGGGTCACTCCAGGGGAACTAAGCTGCAAGAAATAATCACACAAGAGACAGAGATACCTTTTTCTTTAGGGGTGCTGTGACAGCTCCTCTGACCTTAAGGGTCTGCAGAAAAGAGAGCAAGCAAGTGCATGCTGACCCCTTGAATTGAGGAGAAGCCATTCAAATGAGGCAAGGGGTCAGGTTTCAGGGGGTTGAGTCTAGTTTTGTGATGTCTGCTGTCAGCAGGTTGACTGTCATCTAGGAAGGCCACACCAAGGGCAGATCAAGAGAAGGGGACACACAAAGGGCGTTTCCACCGAACAGTCTATCCCAAACAGGGCAAGGGGGTAATATCACAAAGGAATGGGTGAATGTAGCTCAAACTTCCAGGACTGGGGCAATGTCCAGGTCACCAGGAGATGTAATGATGGTCAAAGCCTTGCCTCTCCACTCCGGGAAGGAGAATGCGAATCATTCAGAGTGGCTCCCCACAGGTGGTGGTGTTGCCCCATCAGTGTTTCAGGATGAGTGCCAGGAGCTGGAGAGGGGAGGGTGGAGGTGGGTGCCTCATGGGTATGGGATTTCCTTTGGGGGTAAAGATGCACTTCTAGAAATGGGGAGTGGGGATGGTCACACAGGTCACCCAGGGGGTAAATGAAGGAACCAGAATTTGCACCTGGGTCTGAGTCTGATCGTACCCCGTCCCCTTCTGGGTGTCGTCAGAAATTAAACTCAGCCCCTCGTTGGATTTCTCCATATGAAGGGAAATCCATTCACATCAAACATTCCTGAGAGCGGGGCGGGGTGGCACCCGCCTGTAATCCCAGTGGCTTGGGAGGTTGAGGCTGGAGAATCACGAGTTCAAAACCAGCCTCAGCAACTGGGAGGCGCTAATCAACTCAGTGAGTCCCTGTCTCTAAATGAAATCCAAAATAGGACTGGGGATGTGGTCAGTGGAATGGTCTGAGTTCAATCCCTGGTACCAAAATAAATAAATAATTAAAAATGTAAATAATTTTAAAAAAAATTCCTGCGAAGAGTCGATCTACTGAAGACTCGGTTCATCAGGGAGATGGAGGAGAAATTTACAGCACAGAAATGGCAGCGTCTGCAGAATACGCGTCGCTGTTTAAGACATCTGGAGATACCCCACCACTCCACTCCTGGGGGCATACGTCCTCATTCTTCTCATTCCCCTTTCTCCCCGTTCTATCAGCATCTCACTTTCAGCTGTCAGTCTTTTTTGGCTGACCAATCAGAGACTCAGAAATAGGTCCGTAACTGAGTCTGGCCAATGAGCGCTCTGGAGGGTGGCGCCCTTTCTGGTCCATGAGTTCCTAGCGGTTCAGCCTAGGGATGCTTCGGCCTTTGACGTGGGCAGCTGGGGGTGGTTTAAACGGAAAGGAAAGACAGCCCCGCCAAGAGCGCTGGACCTGTTTATCCAGGCCAGCTGTGCCGGTAGTGATGACAATCTCGGGACCTTCCTGCCTCTCAATTTTTTTTTTTCATTTTTATTGAGACATTACTCACATGCCACCAATTCGCCCTTCTAAAGGGTACAGTTCAGTGGCTTCTTTTGCATATTTGTGAAGAAGAACATCTTAATCTCCTAAAAAAGATCCCATGCTGACCTGTCCCTCCTGTTGTCCCTCCCCCACCCCTTCCAGGTCAGGGCACCCATCGGCTTTACCTCTCCCTGGCCTGTCTCCTCTGCTGTTTCCTCTCGGTGGACTCATCCATTACCTGACCTTTCGTGTCTGGTTTCTTTCACGTTGACGTTTTTAAGTTTCCTCCCGTTGCAGCATGAGCCAGGGCTAGATTCTTGGTTTGTGACTGAATAAGATTTCTTTGTGTAACCAGACTTTGTTCAATCGCCCAACATTTGATGGACGGTTGAGGGGCTTTCACTAATTAGCTGGGATGAGTAATGCTGCTGCGAACATCCTCGGCAGGTTTTTGTGCGGATCCACTCTGATTCTTTGGGGTATACACCTAGGAGTGGAACTGCTGGGTCCTGTGATAGCTCTGTTTAGCTTTCTGAGAATCCACCCAACTGTTTCCTCAGTGGTTGCACCATTTTATATTAATCTCTAGATTAATCTTTAGATTGAGCTGTGTTTTGTATTCTTCAACAGTAAACATTTTTGCTTGTTTGCTCTTGTTTTGAGCCAAGCACTTCTCTATGTGGTCCAAGCCAGTGTCCAGCCAGGGAGTCAAGCAGCCCTCCTGCCTCAGCCAGCCGGGCAGCTGAACTGCAGCGTACATGGCCAAGCTGGCTCCACAGGAAGACCTTCAGCTAACACGCTGTCCCTTGCAGGAGCAAAACAATGAATCATTTTTTGCCCTTATGTAATGAACAGTCTTTCCCCTTTCTTGAACCCAATGCTCATCCTTCTCTCCAACCCACCTAACAAGACACTTTTCCATCCCACACAGCGTCCTTAACACCAATCCCAAGGCCAGTCACTACAGCACGAAGAACTCTGACCCCCTGAAGTTCCTCTCCACGTATTGATACAGTGCAAGATTCTACGATCCACCTGTGGCATTTTCATAATCAGAAGCTCACATTTTCTTGGTGAGGAAAAACTTCCCAGGACACATTTCCAGCTTATCCTGGCTCTCATGAGCACAGCGTCGCTCTTTCTTTCCTGCCCTCTGTCTTTAGGCTGTGATAGCCCTGAAGGCAAGGACGGAGACGGATTCGTTCGCGGGTTTCCAGGAATGGCACTGAGTCCAGACATGGCTCCACAGATTGCTGGTTCTCTTCCTCCCAGGAGGAGGGAGGCTTTCCTGAACAGGGCTGCAGGAGACCCACAGGGCTGAATCAGCTTCCTCCACTCTCCTTTCTGAATTCCTAGACATTCGATTTTCCTGCTGCGATGGTGACGTGGAAGGAGTGTGGGTGACTTCATTGAGGAAGCTCAGAACCAAACCTACAGAGAACCTGGTCTTCTGCCCACTGCCGTGGACTCTGGCTGCTGGTCCCCTACCTCTCAGACCCACCGCTGCCCCTCCATCCCTGAGCCCTGGCTCCAGCTTCTCACTCTCCCGGCCCCAAGCATCCTTCCTTTGCTCCACGTCAGCAGCCATGACGGAATCTCCTTAACCCAGATCTGACTTCCCCACCTCTGCTCAAAACCAGTCCACACCATCCAGTGGAATATGATTATCCAGTCCAAAAAAGAAGCCAGACAGTTACACGCCACCATCGGGGAGAAACTTGTAAACCTCATCCTATGAGAAAGAATCCAAATGCAATGGCCCATCCGAAGGCTCCAGAGTAGCTGGGCATGGGGTCACGGGCCTGGAACCCCAGGCACCCGAGAGGCTGAGGCAGGATGGCCAGCCCGAGGCCAGCCTGGTGACTTAGTAATTTAAGGAGGCCTTATCTCAGAGCAAAAAGTAAAAAGGGCAGGGGATGTGGCTTCGTGGTTGAGCACTGCTGGGTTCAATTCCCGAGAAAAAGAGAAAGGGAGGGAAGGAGGGAGGGAGGGAGGCGGGGTGGATCCAGAATAGGTAAATCCCTAGAGTCAGCAAGGAGATGGTGGGAGCCAGGAGCTGGAGGGGGAGGTTGGGGTGACTGTCTCACGGGTCCGGGATTTCCTCTTGGGGTAGAGATGCAGTCCTAGAAATGGGGAGTGGTGATGGTCGCACGATCTTCTCAACCTACTTAAAGTCCGTGAATTGGATGGGCGTAGGGGCCACACCTGTCATCCCAGCACTGTGGGAGGCTGAGGCAGGAGGACCTCAAGTTCAACGCAAAACTGGGCAATTTAGTGAGACTCTGTCTCAAAAAAAAAAAAATGGTGTGTGGGGTGGAAATGGGGCGGCTGGGGATGTGGCTCACTGGTAAAGGACCCCTGTGTTTAATCCCTAGTAGCCCAACCCCCCAAAAATAATCCCTCTGTGGGAAACGCCACTGTGGGTTTAAGAGGAAACAGTAGCCCACGTGAGATGTTTTCTTGGTTGGTTTGTTTGGTTGGTCCAGGGGGTTAGACCCAGGGTTTCTTAACCACTGAGCCACATCCTCAGCCCTATTTTATACTTTATTAGAGACAGGGCCTCACTGAATCGCTGAGGCTGGCTTTGAACTCGCCATTCACCTGCCTCAGCCTCCCCAGCTGCTGGGATTACAGGCGTACATCACGGCCACTGGCCCTTTTTGTTTTTTATTTTGGGTTGAGTTCTCACTAAGTTGCCCTGGCTGGCCTCAAACTTGCAATCCTCCTGCCTCAGCCTCCAGAATGGGAGGGATTACGGGGATGCGCGGTGCCGACTCCTGGAAGCTCTTGTGGCGCCTCCCCAGAAGAGGCCCAGCCAGGACTGAGATGACGCAATCCACCACAGAACGCGTGAGGTGAGGAAGACAGGAGGGGGGACCCAGAAGAGGGGCCGGTGTGTGAAGGGAGCCGGGAAGACAGAGCAGAAGTGAAGGCCCAGGACTCGTGGGGTTGCCTCACCGCCTCAGCTTCCCTTTCTCAGAGCCACTCCCCTCTGTGAGCCGGGCAGGCAGGGGCCCGCAGGTGAGGAAGCCTGTCTCTGCAGCTCTCTCCTCTCTGAGGTTGCAGTGGCCTGTCCTCGGGCCTGCGGACCGTCCGTGGTGGGCATGCTGGAACCGCCCGCTCTCCCGTGTGCCCCAGCAGCCAGGTCTCTTGCCGGTCCAGAGGGCCCCATGCTGCCAGCCACAGCCGGGGATGGCCTCTGCCGCCTGTCCACCTACCTGGAAGAACTCGAGGCTGTGGAACTGAAGAAGTTCAAGCTGTACCTGGGGACTGCAGCGGAGCTGGGGGAGGACAAGATCCCCTGGGGACGCCTGGAGCCCGCTGGGCCCCTGGAAATGGCCCAGCTGCTTGTGACCCACTTGGGGACCAGGGAGGCCTGGCTGCTGACCCTCCGCATCTTTGATCGGATCCACAGGAAGGACCTGTGGGAGAGAGGACAGAGAGAGGACCTGGTGAGGGGTAAGCAGGTGGTAGGACTGTCACGGGGTCCCTCTTCTCCCATAGACACCTGAGCCTGGGGACATGGGGCCCCCACTCTGTCCCTTGGTTTTGTTCTTGTTGTCTTCTGCCCTGGGCACACTCTACCTCCAGTGCCCGGAAAGTTCTTACTTATCCACCAGAACCTTGAGCCACAGGTCAAGTGTCTCTTAGCTGAAATGCTTGGGATGGGAAGTGTTTTGGACCTGGGATTATTTTGGATTTGGGAACATTGGCAAATACACAGTGATGTATGTTGGGATGGGACTGAAATCTGAGCATGAAATCCACTGTGTTTCATGTACACCTCGGATGCAGAGCCTGGAGGGACGTCATACAGAATTTTTATTTGTCTACATGGTCACCCATGTTCAGGTGTGGAATTTTCTATCCGTGGCATCAAGTCAGCCCTAAAATCTTTGTATTTGTTGGTTTCTGAGTTGCAGATTTTCAGATGAGGGATGCTCAACCTAGGTTCTAGCTTCTCTACAAATTCTGTACTCCTTGCTCCTTCCGGTCCCTACCACTGACCGCCTGACTGCTCTAACAACCCTCTCCGCTGCTTCCTTGACATTCTCGATTTCTTGTATTCTGCTTCCATCTTATGAAATCGTCACAAGGGTGCCAACCCGTGTGGATTCCTTTCTGTGCCCTGTGCATGGTATCCCAGGGCATGTTTAAAATGCTGGGTGAAACCGGGCATGGTGGTCTACAACTGTGCTCCCAGAGACTCCGGAGCGTGAGGGAGAAAGTCACAGATTCAAGGACAGCCTGAGCAACTCCGTGAAACCCTAAGCAACTCAGTGAGACCCCATCTCAAATAAAAAAACAGAATGGGCTAGACATGGAGCTCAGAGGTAGAGCACCCTGGGCTCCATCCCAGTGCAGAAAAGAAATGCTAGGACCCCTGTTACGAGGTGAGCAAGCTGAGGCCCAGGGGAAAATGTGACCTGCCCTCAGACACGGCCATGACACCCAGCACACGGAAAAGGTTCAGCATGGCAGGCAGCAAGGGCTCTCAGGCTCCAGCTCTTGCTGGATGTGGCAGAGCTCTGTCTCCTCTCCCTCTGCTCAAGAACAGGGAGCAGCAGGCACAGTGGCACAGAACTATAACTTGGGAGTCTGAGGCAGGAGGAGCAAAGTTTGAGGACAATGTAAAGAATACTGGTCTCAAAATAAAATAAAAAGGATTGGGGGTAGCTCAGTGGTACTCAGTGCCCTGACTTTAATCTCCACCCAAGTACCAAAAGAAAAAAAATAAAAAGAAAGAAAAGAAGAAAAAATAAAGAACATCTTTTGTCATATATCTGACCCTTGCCACTCAGGTCTCATGTTCAATATCTCACCCCCTCTTCTGAGCACCCCTATTTACCCCATTTATGGAGAAATCTGTCACCCTACCTAGTATGAGGTGGCTGCTCACGTGACACACAGCCCTGGATAGATGGGACCGACAACAGTTTATTAGTCACAAGCAGTGGTTCCTCCTTATCCACAGGGGACTCCATGCAAGCCCCAACTAGATGCCTAAAACTGCACCTAGGACCAAACCCTGTTTTCCCCCTGAACACACATACCCATAATAAAGCTTAATGTATGAATCAAGCACAGTAAGATATGCCCAACAACTAATAACAAAATAGAATGATTATAACAAGATTCTGCAATAAAATTCACAAAGCACATCCAAATGGCCAGAATTGCTACTCTCATGTTTTGGGGCCATTATCAAGTAAAATAAGGATTACTTGAACACAAGGACTGCAGTACTGCCACAGTGGATCCGAGATGTTTGCCAAAGGACTAGTGGGTAGATAGCATACACAGGGTGGATACGCTGGGCAAAGGGATGATTCACATCCTGGGTGGAACAGAGAGGATGGCCTCAGATTTCTTCATGCTAGTCAGGTGGGGGCGACTGAAAACTTACGAGTTGCTTATGTCTGGAAAACTCCAGTTAATGTTTTCAGGCCACTGTTGACTGTGGGCAACTGAAACCACCGAAAGTGAAATAGAGAAGGGGGACTCCTGTAGACTCAGAGCCTGGGGGGATAGGAACCCCACCCACCAGGAGAAGTCACAAAGAGTCATACAGTTACCTGGGGACAGAATGGACCAGCAGGGGCAGGCTTTCTAGTTAGAGGGCAGTGCTGCCGGGTTCCCAAGAGAGAATGCAGTCGGCTTGTTTGAATGACTTCCTGGCCTGGCAGGGGGGGAATGCTGCTGGGCTGGTGACCAGGCAAGGTGCAGCTAGTCCAGAGGATAGGAGAACTGGCCCCTGGGAGCCTTGCCCACCCCCAGGGCCATCGGGAAGAGCCCTGGGGGCGGGCTCTTCATTAACTTCTGTCACTCATTATCTGAGGTCACGGTGGCTGTGTATTTTCTTGCACCCTTGGGGTGCGATGCAGTCTGTGAGGCGAGTCCCACACGCTCCAGGGAGGAGGCACCAGGGGAGCGAAGCAGCTTGCAGATGTAACAGCAGCTAAGGTCACTTTTGTGCTTGCTGATCCCCCAAAATTTCTCTTCCAGTTACTCCACCACATGGTTCCTGCTCACTGGGAAGCCTGTCAGCGGGCCTTGTGGACGTCTGTCCCAACACTCCAAGAAAAGGTGAGCCACGCTCCAGGTACCCACTAGCTACGTGGAACCAGCCATCGGCGGGGCGCCAACAGCACCGCAGCCCCCACGTCTTCCTGTGCTGCAGTTCAGTCAGACCCTGTAAGACACACTTGTCATCTCATGGCTGAACAGTGGCTACCAAGGGATCTCACACCAGGGAATCACGAGCCAGGACAAAGGGGAGGGCCAGGTCTTTCATCCTCAAGAGGCTCAAGAGTCTGTCACTTAGCAGATGTGATGGCGCAGGACTGTAATTCCAGGGACCCTGGAGGCTGAGACAGGAGGATTGCAAGCTCAAGACCAGCCTGGCCAACTCTGAGACCACATCTCAAAATACAATAAAATAGTAATAGTAGTAGTAATAACAACAATGATAAAAGAATCTGTCACTTTATCCAGAAATGCAGTCACTCCAGTAAGTTCTTCTTAGCAGTCATGCTGGGCGGCTCACTGGTCAGGACTGGGGTCCATGTGCCTCCTCAGCTAGTCACGGGTGTACAAAGCAAGACTTCTCATGACGGGTTTGACAAAGCCACAGTTCACCCTCTGGGGCTTGTGAAGGGGCAACACTGACCGTTCATGAGGACAGTGGTCAACACCCACTGTGTGAGCAGTCTCCTGTTGGTGGGAAGGAAATGGGGCTGATGATGCTGGGATGTGGCTTGTGAGAGCACGTGCCCCAAAGCACAACCACTGGGCACAGGAGCCGACACCTGTAATCCCAGTGGCTCGACGGGTGAGACTCCAAAGCCCTGTTGCCAGTGGGGCTCCTGAAATACAAGCTAGAACACAGAAAGCTCTGTTTCCACAAACTGTGTCACCCAATGATCCCCTTGAGGACACTTCATCGCCCCAAAGACTGGGGATCCCGGAAGGGAGAGAGCTATGGCCTCAAGATAAGAGGGTGACTGAGTTCCTGTGGGAGAGCCCCCCACACACACACCAGAAGGCAGCATTCTGGAGATGTTACATCAAGGGTGTGGGAAGGTCACAGAGGCACACGGACAGGGAAGATCTTTAATATTTTCCTTAGCCCTCCACCCCCAGAGACTTTCAGCAGAGGATTCCTGGAAGAGATAGCTCTCCTGCACTACAGACCTGCATCTGAGGGTTGCCAAAGGGGTGCAGATAAAGGAGCTCTGCTCCTCCAACCAGCCCCGGGTTTTGTTGGGATGCAGCCTCTGACTGAGCTGGTGGGCAGCCTCCAGCCAGCTCCCTGGAAATGCTGCTGCTCTGGGGACTGCCCTTGGAGTCGAAGGCACGGAGTGTATACTTACCCACCATGTCTGGTAATGCCTCAGCTTCCCGTGACAAGGTGACAAGGACTTTATAAAGAAGGGCCAAGGCCCTCAGACTCCGTCCAGAAAACGGCTCCAGGGCTGGGGACACACCTCAGTTGGAAGGATGGTTGCCTCGCATGCACAAAGCCCTGGGTTCAATCCCCAGCAACACACACACACACACACACACACAAAGCAAAAAATGGTTCCGAGGACACTGCAGGACAAGCAGGCGCTAGACCAGGAGTTTATTCGTTGCTGATGAGTCTCCCATTCCTCCCCTCTAGATCCCCGGGAAACCTACAGGGACTATGTCCGCAGGAAATTCCGGCTGATGGAGGACCGCAATGCGCGCCTGGGAGAGTGCGTCAACCTCAGCCGCAGGTACACCCGGCTGCTCCTCGGCAAGGATCACTCAAATCCCATGCGGGCCCAGCAGAAGCTTTTGGACACAGGCCGGGGACACCAGTCCAGCCCCATCCAGATAGAGACCCTCTTCGAGCCGGACGAGGAGCGCCCAGAACCACCGCGCACCGTGGTCTTGCAGGGGGCAGCAGGGATGGGCAAGTCCATGCTGGCGCACAAGCTGATGCTGGACTGGGCCGACGGGAGGCTCTTCCAAGACAGGTTTGATTATCTTTTCTACATCCACTGCCGGGAGATGAACCGGAGCGTTGCCGAGCGGAGTGTGAAGGAACTCATCTCCAGCTGCTGGCCAGAGGCCGGGGTGCCCCTGCGGGCGCTCGTCTGTGCCCCCGAGCGCCTCCTGCTCATCATCGACGGCTTCGATGAGCTCAAGCCTTCTTTCCATGATCCTCAGGGATCCTGGTGCCTCTGCTGGGAGGAAAGACGTCCAACCGAGCTGCTCCTGGGCAGCCTGATTCGGAAGAAGCTGCTGCCCGAGCTGTCCCTGCTCATCACCACGCGGCCCTCCGCCTTGGAGAAGCTCCACGGCTTGCTGGAACACCCCAGGCACGTGGAGATCCTGGGTTTCTCCGAGGCGGAAAGGAAGGAGTACTTCCACAAGTATTTCCGCAGTGCAGAGCAGGCCACCCAAGTCTTGAGCTTTGTGAGGGACAACGAGCCCCTCTTCACCATGTGCTTTGTTCCCATGGTGTGCTGGGTCGTTTGCACCTGCCTCAAGCAGCAGCTGGAGGGCGGGGGGCTCTTGAGACAGCCTTTCAGGACCACCACTGCCGTGTACACGCTCTACCTTCTCAGCCTAATGCAACCCAAACCAGGGACTCCGACCCTCAAATGCCCACTGAACCACAGGGGGCTGTGCTCTCTGGCCGCAGATGGCCTCTGGAATCAGAAAATCCTATTTGAGGAGCAGGACCTCCAGAAACACGGCCTGGACGGTGTAGATGTCTCTGCCTTCCTCAACGTGACCATCTTTCAGAAGGACATAGACTGTGAGAAGTTCTACAGCTTCATCCACCTGAGTTTCCAGGAATTCTTTGCTGCCATGCACTATATTCTGGAGGGTGGGGAGCGTGGGCCAGGCCCAGAGCAGACCATGACTCGGCTGTTGACCGAATACGGGTTCTCAGAAAGGAGTTTCTTGGCCCTCACCGTCCGCTTCCTGTTTGGGCTACTGAATGGGGAGATGAGAAGCTACTTGGAGAAGCATCTTTGCTGGAAGACCTTGCCTCACGTCAAGATGGAGCTGCTGGAGTGGATCCAAAGCAAAGCTCGGAGCGAGGGCTCCACCCTGCAGCAGGGCTCCCTGGAGTTCTTCAGCTGTCTGTATGAGATCCAGGAGGAGGAGTTTATCCAACAGGCCCTGAGCCCCTTCCAGGTGGTGGTGGTCGGCGACATTGCCACCAAGATGGAGCACATGGTCTGCTCCTTCTGTGCCAGGAGCTGCAGGAGTGTCCTGGTGCTGCACTTGTATGGGGCTGCCTACAGTGCCGACCAAGAGGGCAGCTCCACGTGGCCTTCTGAAACCCAGGCGCCCTCAGGGCCGATGTAAGTACCCCTCCGGCTGACCCTCCAAGTCCATGCCCTCATCTATTGGTTCTCTGTTAGGGGAAATTTGCAGCCTTATTGCCATCATTGCCATCCGGACCCAGGAGGCAATACCTGGGCAGCAGAGTGACTTTGCTGCCATCTAGTGGCTAGAAGGCAGAGGTACAGCAGAACGTCCCACAATCTGCAGGGCAGTCCCAGGGTGATCTGGTCCCCAAATGCCCACAGTGCCAGAGCTGAGAGCCTGCTCTTGAACAGCAAGCACGGGGGCTAAACTGCGGTTATGTCACGGAGAACATTCAATCAAGATATCCTGTCAGGCACAGGGCGCTCACTTGTAATCCCAGGGACTCGGGAGACTGAGGAAGGAGGATCACAAGTTCAAGAGCAGCCTGGACGGTTTAGTGAGAGCCTGTCTCCAAATAACACAGGAAGGGCTGGGAGTGTAGCTGAGTGGTAGAGCACTTGCCTACCACGTGCAAGGCCTTGGGTTCCTACCCAACATCACAAAAATAGAAAAGAAAGAAGTAGGCAAACAGGCAACAAGCTTGTCAAAGATGAAGAGTTTCAGAGAGGTCACTGCTGTGAGGAAAATCCAACAGGATGATGGGACGGCAGTGATGTGGGGTGGGGGACACCGGAGCTGGCCATCAAGGTGGGAGGTGCTGAGGAAGTGGTGAGTAACCTTACTCACCACTCAAAGAACAGACTTTGTTCTGTGTGATTCCAGCTACCCAAGAGGCTGAGGCAGGAGGTTGGCAAGTTGGAGGCCAGCCTCAGCAACTTAGTGAGACCCTCTCTCAAAATAAAAAGGGCTGGGATATGGCTCAGTGGTTAAGTGCCCCTGGGTTCCATTCACATTTGGGGAGTTGTGGGGGGGAGACTGTTTTGGTCTGAATGGTTAATTGGTAAATGGTCTTGGGAAAATGAACATGAGTGGAGACAGGCTGGGCGTGACTGAGTGTGGGGCACTTGTCTGGCATGCATGAGGCCCTGACTCCATCCCTAGCACCTCAAAAGAGAGGGAGAAAGGAGAGGACAGCGGCAGGGAAAGCAGCAGCAAAGGAGCATCCAGCTCTTCGTCTGCCCCCACAGGCAGGGAGCCAGCCCCTGTCGGTCCTGGATGAGAACCAGGGTCCCCTGTCAGTCACTGGGTGAGAACCAGTGTGGGTACATCTCCACCCTCCCAGGCAGCCCTGAAGACTGGGTGAAGCCCTGACCTACCTCAGTGGGGATGAGCTGGAGACAGCTTTAGACAAGTTGAGGAGGGAGGGTTTGCAGGAGGCAGGAGGAGCCACCCCTGGCTGCAGGGGAGGGTTGGTGTGCCCACAGCCTCTGAGCTTGGGGCTCATTTTCAGCAACCAGACTCTGCCTCCCTCCTGGCACTGCGGTTGGAACTAGACCCCTCATTTGTAAAAAAAAGGACATAAATGTGCATCATGGTTTTTCTTCTTTCTTTTTTTTCTTTCCAGGGTTGCAAGCCAGGACCTTAGATTACTGTGCAGGTGGAATGCCCATAACCAAAATGCTTGGGACCAGAAATGTTTCAAATTTCACATTTTTAAGACTTTAATATACTTGCAAATAGGGCTGGTGATATAGCTCAGTTGGTAGAGTGCTTGCCTCACATGCACAAGGCCCTGGGGTCAATCCCTAGCACCACACACACACACACACACACACACACACACACACATCCAAATACATAATGAGGTAGCTCAAAGGTGGGGTCCAAGTCTAAGCACAAACTTCCCGTGTGCATCACCTGCACCTTATAGACGTCGCCAGAAGATTCCCCCCACTTTTTTCTTGGTTGCTCAGTGCTGGTGATGGAGCCCAGGGCCTCACGTGGGTCAGGATGGCCTTCCTCACCCCTGACTGCGCCCAGCCCTGCACTATTCTTTCTCACCATCAGAAGCCTCTCAGTAAAGCTCAGGGTCACTCTCAGGAAGCCCCTGGAATGTTTTTCCGTATTTTTTATTGGAGCGTTGTAGTTGACATAATGATGGAATTCCTTGTCACACATTTGTACAAGCACACAACCTAACAATAGCAATTTGGCCAATATCCCTCCCCAGCACTCCCCTCTCCTCTCACCCCTGCTGCATTTCCTCCACTCACCACCTTAGAGTCTCATGAGATGCCCACCTCGCTTTCTATCCCTTTCCCTCCCCAGCTTCCACATGACGGAAAACACGTGACCCTTGACTTTCTGAGTTTGCCTTATTTTGCTACCATAATGTTCCCTAGTTCTTCCAATTTCCTGCAAAGGCCATAATCTCTTTCTTCTTTATTGCTGTATAAGACTCCATTGTGCATCCATGCCACAGTTTCTTTCTCCATTCTCCCTCTGATGGACACCAGGCTGGTTCCATGGTTGGCTGTTGGGAGTTGTGCATTATAAACATGGGTGTGCACGCATCGCTGTGGCATGAAGATTTCAAGTCTTCAGGATAAATACCCAGGAGTGGCACAGCTGGGTCAGGCATGGTTCCATGCTCTTCTTTTGAGGAGCTGCATACTGATTTCCATGGTGGGATGCTAATTTACAGTCCACAGCAGTGAGGAAGTGTTCCTTGTGCCCCACACCTCTCCCCACCCCTGCAGTTTGCGCTCTTGCTGCCTGCCATTCTGCTGGGGCTACACTAGTACAAAGGCGCTTGCCTGAGACTGCTCCCAGGATGTCAGCTGTGGAAGTTGCCAGTTAGGGCATCATGTTGGCACTCCTGAGTTTTGTATTGTAGAGCTTTTTGGATTCCAGATTGGGGATGCCCAGCCTGGATGGGGACAGTAGGAGTGGTGGTTAATAGCCTGGCTTTGCTGGATGCAGTGGAGCACTCCTGTAGTCAATCCCAGAGACTCAGGAGGTAAATCAGGAGGATGGCAAGTTCAAGGCTAGCCTCTGCAACTTAGGGAAATCCTATCACAAAACAAAAAAAGTCTGGGTGTGGTAGTGCATACCTGTAATCCAAGCCGTTTGGGAGGCTGAGGCAGGAGGATCATGAGTTCAAAGCCAGGCTCAGCAATCTCAAGGCACTAAGCAACTCAGTGAGACCCTGTCTCTAAATAAAATACAAAATAGGGCTGGGGATGTGACTCAGTGGTACATTAGCCCTGAGTTCAATTTTCCTGGTAACAAAAACAAAAACAAAAACAAAAGAGAGAGAAAGAAAAGAAAAGAAAGAAAGAGAAAACAAAAATATAGAAAGGACTCTGGTTCCAGAGATAAAATGTTCTGGGTTCAGCCTCCAGTATCTCCTCCCCCGACCACTCATCCAAATCGCCTGGGCTTTGGAATCAAGCCACACATGGGTTGGAACCCCAGCTCTGCTGTTCACTAGCTGTGTGACCTTGGGCAAGACTTTTCTCCTTATTGGATCAGTTTTTGTGCTTGGAAAATGGGAAGTTTAATTCCTATCCATTAGGGTGACTTGTGTTATACAGAGTGTGTCTGCAGATGACATCTCTTTTCCATCCCTGATCCCAGGTCTGGAGTCTGTCTGGCTGCTGACTTGCTGTGGGAACCTGGGCAGGTCACCCAGTTCATTCAGAAGCTAAATTAAACTAAAGTTGGCTGGGTGCAGGAGACACACACCTAGAATCCCAGCAGGGGATCTCAAGTTCAAGCTCAGTCTCAACCACCAGCAAGACACTGTCTCAAAACCTAAAAGGGGCTGGGACTGTGGCTAAGTGTGTAGCATGCCCCTGGATTCAGTCCTCACTCCCAAAAAAATAAGTAAGACAAAGTGTTTAAAAAATTATAAAGTGACATACAAACTGCAAACATAGTGGTCAAGTGACCAGAAAGGCTAGACCTTGGCTGTCTCCTTCCTGCAGACCTGAGAGGAACAGGCTGCCAGATGCCTACAGTGAGCACCTTGCAGCTGCTCTGCGCACCAGCCCTGACCTAACAGAGCTGGCTTTGTACCGGAACGCCCTGGGCAACCGCGGGGTGCAGCTGCTCTGCCAAGGACTTAGACACCCCCTCTGCCGGCTGCAGAACCTCAGGTGAGTGCCAGCTGGCCCGTGACCTTCTGGCCTGCCGACCACCACCTCTCTCCAGGGTCATGGTAGGATGGTGTATCAGTGTTCACTTGCTGCTGTAACAAAGTCCCATGGTCTGGACACCCTCAACAACAGATCTGGGGGCTACAAGTCCAAGATCAAGGTGGCATCAGGGTAGGTTTTTCCTGAGCACTGTCTCCTTGGCTTTCAGAGGGCTGTCTGCCCAATGTCATCCCTCTGCACATGGCACAGGTTTGTGTCCTAATCACCTTTTTGCAGTGCTGAGAATTGAACCCTGGGCTTTGCACATGCTAGGCAAGCCCTCTACCACTGAGCTACACCCCAGCCCTTTCTAGTTCTTATTTTGAGACAGGCTCTTACTGACTTGCCCAGCCTGGCCTTGAGCTTGCTATCCCCCTGCTTCAGCCTCCAGAGTCACTGGGGTGACACTGCATCCTTAAAATGGAACAGCTGGGCGTGGTGGCACAGACTGGTAATCCCAGGGACTTGGGAGGCTGCAGCAGGGATTGCAAAGTGGAGGCCAGCCTGGCAACATACTGAAATCCTACTTTAATAAAAACATAAAAAGGGCTGGACTGTAGCTCAGTGGTAGAGTGCTGTCCTAGCTTTAGGAGTAGCCCTGGGATCGACCCCCACTAACGAGAGGAAGGAAAAAAGAAGAGTCTTAAATTTCTTTTTTAAGGGCAGTCTCTGTGAACATACTTCATTGATTATAAAGCACTAAACATTTTATATTATTTTTGTTGCTTTAAAGTTTTCTCGTCTTTTAAAATTTGAGAGCTAAAGCCAGGCATGGTGGCAAAAATGCCTATAATTCCGGCAGCTTCGGAAACTGAGGAAAGAGAAGCACAAGTTCGAAGCCAGCCTCGACAACTTAGCAAAGCCCTAAGCAACCTAATGAGACCCTGTCTCAAAATAAAAAGCAAAAAGGGCTGGGGATGTGGCTCAGTGGTTAAAAACCCCTGTGTTCAATACCTGGTGAGAGAGAGAGAGAGAGAGGATAACAGATGAAATGATGCATTCATTGTGTATAATAACACGATGCTTTAAACTAGAGGTATCGCGCAGGGGGCAGAGCTCCATGATAGAGCACTTGATTAGCATGTCCAAGACCCTGGCCTTGATCCTTGGGGCTGCCCAAAAAATAAAAATTAAAGTAAAATATATATAATTGTAGAATGACAAACTCTAGCTAATCAACACATTACCTTTAAAGTGACCATATTTGTGGTGAGAACATTTAAAATCTACTCTTAGCATTTTTCAGGAATAATTTTTGTTACTTTATTAAGTATCAAGTTCACATACCAGAAAATTCAGTCAGTGGGTAGATTTCTGCATTTTCAGTATATTCACCGTTATGCAAACATCACCACTACGTCCATAGCATTTTCCTGACTCTAAATGAAACCCCATACCCATTAATGATCTCTCTACCCCCACACCCCACAGTCCCTAACTGCCAGAATCTCCTTTTATTTTTTGGCACTGGGAATTGACCCCTGGGTGCTTAACCACTGAACCACATCCCCAGCCCTTTTTATTTATTTTTTTTTATTTTGAGACAGAATCTCACTTGCTTGCTTAGGGCCTCATGAAATTGCTGAGGCTGCCCTTGAACTTGCAATCCTCCTGCGTCAGCTTCCTAAGTCACTGGGAGTACAGGTGTGCACCACCACACCTCGATTTTTTTTTTTTCCTTTTAGTTTTGCTTTGTTGGCATTGCTGGGTCTCAAGCCCAGGGTTTCATGCATGCTAAGCAGGGGCTCTACCTGTGCAGAATTCCCAAAACTGCTGCAAAGGAGATGACCCTGGCTCTTCTCCTTCCTTCTACCGCAGGCTGAAGAGGTGCTGCTTCTCCAGCTCCGCCTGCCAGGACCTGGCCACAGCCCTCACGGCCAATCAGAATTTAATAAGGATGGATCTAAGTGGCAACGACCTGGGACTTCGGGGCATGTCCCTGCTCTGCCAGGGGCTCCGGCATCCCCAGTGCAGGCTGCAGATGATTCGGTGAGTCCTCCTCCCTGGAATACGTGCTCGGTTTCATCTTGTTTTAATGGAAATATTAATACACATTAAATGAATACTAAATGGGGTCCAGTGTGATATTTACATACATATATGGGATGTGCACTGATCACATTTGCCTCCCCCTTCCACCCCCTGGGAAGAAGCTCTCAAACGGCGAGTCCTCCAGGCAACCTCGCTGTCGCCTTAGCTGGAAAGAACCCCATATGCTGAAGATCCCCAAGTCTGTTCCTCAACACCAGGGCTCGACCTCAAGCCCATGGCCTTACACCTCTGCCCAACACCTAGGCACGTTCAAGTCACTCTCTGGCCTCTGACTCCACCCTCTTCTGCATGGCCAGGAAGCCCTGAGCGACCCGCCCTCCCAGAACCCACACCCTCTTACTGACCTGAGCAGAGGGAACCCCAGAGCTGCCTAAACAGACTCGGGTTGTGGGGCCCCTATTTCCCACAATGCCACCTGCACCCCACTCCTCCTGAATTCTGCTTGGCCCTTGAGAACCAGCCCAACTCCCCCGGGGCTCCTCCCAAGCGGCACACCCTATCTGCCAAAGCCCAGTTCCAGGCGCTTTTAATAACAGTGATGCTTTGAGATGCTTTTAATAACAGTGGCTCAGCTTACGGAGCTCCCAGGAGGGGCGAGGCCCAGGTCTGTTCCCTCCATTCTCGGATCATCCAACCCTTGCAACCTAAGGAAGCAGGCACAAGGCAGCACAGGAAACGCAAACTCCAAGTCCCAGGGCAGGAGGGTGGTGCCCCGGGTGCACACGCAGAGGCTGAGCTAGGACTCCCCTCTCCTGGGCTGCATTATGCCCACGCGGTGGTGCAAGTACCTGGGAAGCAGGGCGCTTCCTGCTGGGCCTCATCTCTGAAGTCCGCTCTGTGCCCATGGCTTCCACACCCAGGGATTCCACCAGCTTCCACTGAAAATATTCAAGAAGGAAAGTTGCTTCTGTACAGAACATGTACAGTTTTTGTTTCTGTACCGGGGATGGAAGTTGAGCTCATTGGTTCCCCATCCCCAAGCCACTTCCCCAGCAGCAACCCCCTCACGTTTTTCCCCCTTTGGTACCAGGGATTGGACCCCGGGGCACTTAACCACTGAGCCACATTCCCAGCCCCTTTTTATTTTTTATTTTGAGACAGGGTCTCACTAAGTTTCTTGGTGACTCACCAAGTGGCTGAGGATGGCCTTGAACTTGCCTCTCCTGCCTCAGCCTGTAAAGTCCCTGGAATTACAGGTGTGCACCCCTGCGCCTGATCATACAGACTTTGTCATTTTTGCCTAAATGACACAGTGTAACAACTATTTTTTGTAGCATTTACATTGTATCAGGTATTATAAGTCATCTAGGTTATTAAGTCATCATTTAAAATGCACAAGAGGGGCTGAGGATGAGGCTCAGTGATGGAGCATTTATCTGGCTTGCATGAGGCCCTGAGTTCGATCCCCAGCTCTACAAAAGAAAAATTAAAGATAAAATACATAAGAGGACATGTAATTTTATATAAGGGACTGGACCTCCTGCACATGGTATCCTCAAGGGGTCCTAGACAAGTCCCCAATTGATGCTGAGTGACCAGGGGATAGATCTGTGCAGGGTGATTGACAGGCCAGGCATACCCAACCCGAAGGCAGAGTAGCATCTTTTCCCTCACAGGTTGAGGAAGTGTCTGCTGGAGGCTGGGGCTTGTCAGGAGATGGCATCTGTGCTGAGCACCAACCCACATCTGGAGGAGCTGGACCTGACAGGAAACGCCCTGGAGGACTCCGGCCTGTGGTTGCTGTGTCAAGGACTGAGGCACCCAGGCTGCAGGCTGCGGACCTTGTGGTGAGTGCTTGGAGGGCAACTACCGTGGCAAACCCCGTCCTGCCGAGTGATGTGGAGGATTGCATCCACCATGTGCCCAGCATTCCCCTGTCACACAGCCCAAGGTGGAGGCCACTACACGTCCATGGGGGAATGACTGCATGGATACAATGTGGTCTACACAATCTGACAATGTTAAGTGAAAAAGGGAAAGAATCAACTTTGTCTTGCAAAAAAAATTAAAGTGCTACTTTTTTTGGGGGGTGTAGTTTACTGGGGTTTGAACCCAGAGGTGCTTAACCACTGAGCCACATCTCCGCACTTTTTGTTGTTTGAGACGGTCCTCACTAAGTTGCTTAGGGCCTTGCTAAGTTGCTGAGGCTGGTGTTGAACTTGCAATCTCCTGCCTCAGCCTCCCAAATTTCTGGGATTACAAGTGTGCATCACTGCACCTAGCTAAAGAGCCTTTTTTTTTTTAAGTTGTAGATGGACACAATATCTTCATTTTATTTATTTATTTTTATGTGATGTTAAGAATCAAACCCAGTGTCTCACATGTGTTAGCAATTTCTCTACCACTAAAGCCACAACCCCAACCCCCAAAGTACCACTTTTAAGATCCTAAATTAAGGGGAGGGGCACAGTATGGGCAACATAGTTATAACCTGTCTCCTGAAAAGAAAGGAGAAAAGAAAGAAAAAAGAGGACTAGGGATGTGGCTCAGGGATATGGTACTTGCCTAGCCTGTACAAGGCCCCGGGTTCAATCCTCAGTACTGCAAAAGAAAACAAACAAAAAAGTGTTGTATCCATGCAATGCAATATCATTCATCCTTAAAAATGAATGACTTCTGGGCTGGGGATATAGCCCAGTTGGTAGAGTACTTGTTTCACATGCATAAGGCTCTGGGTTCAATCCCCAGGACCACAAAAAAAAAAAAAAAAAGAGTGACTTCTACCACAACATACATCCTGAAGCTTTATATTAAGTGAAATTTACCAGACATAAAAGGACAAAAATTGTGGGATTCCACATGTGTGAAATACTCAGAACCATCAAATACATGCAAGGATCAATGGAGCACACCTGTAATTCCAGCTACTCAGGAGGCTGAGGCAGGAGGATGCAAGTTTGAGGTCAGCCTCAGCAACTTAGTGAGACCCTGTCTGAAAATAACTAATGGCCGGGGTGTAGCTCAGTGGTAAAGCATCCATGGTTCAACCTCCAACCACCACACAACAAAAAGCAGTACCTTTAACTTGAGGTGGGAGTTAAATTCAACTCCACACAGAACACCCTCCACATTTGCTGTTGGGTCTTCTGTAGGTTGAAAATCTGCCATCTCACCGCTGCTGCCTGTGAAGACCTGGCCTCCACTCTCAGTGTGAACCAGGGCCTGACCGAGCTGGACCTGAGTCTGAACGACCTGGGGGACTCTGGAGTGCTGCTGCTGTGTGAAGGCCTCAAGCACCCCAAGTGCAATCTCCAGACCCTGCGGTGAGTGCCGCTGTGCTCACTTCAGGAGTGCAAACCCTCACACACTTCTCTATGCTCTAGGAGGCCAAGCAGCCTCCCCTCCCACCTGAATTCTCGCTACTTCAGCTCACTCCAAAGATTCTCTGCCAGAATGTGGCCTTTGCATAGTCTGTTCTTGCTTCCTGGCATGACCATCAGCTGTGCTGACCTCTGTGCCTTCCTCTGCTGTCCTGCTGAGAAGTCTAGCTCATCTTTTATGATTCAGGACAAATTGTCACTTCCCCGTGGAGGCCCTCTGGATTCCGAGTTTCATAATTCTTTATAACCTGACTCTTTCTCTCAGGTCACTTAACAAAGTTTGTAATTTGGGTGTGTCCTGTGTGGCTTTGCAAAGTGCAAGAGCAGTGTCCACTCTAGCTCCTAGTGGCTAGTGAGAGACCTGGCCCGGGAGACTAAAAACGCACACTTTTGTAGCATTTTCCTTCTATGGTTGTCATGAGCAGCAAGTGAAGTGATGCTTTTGAATTACTTGGTGTTATGGGTTGAACTGAATCCCCCTCCGAATTCCCTGGTTGAAGTCTGAACCCTCAGAAAAAAATAGCTTTTTATATTGACATTCCTCCCCAGCGCTGGGAATGGAACCTGAGGCCTCACCTGCTCCAGGGAAAGTCCTCTGACACTGGGCTCTATAGCTCCAGCCCCAGAATGTGGCCTTATTAGGGTCTGGAGCTGCCCTAACAAAACACCCAGACCGGGCGGCTTTGGGGACCAATCCACCCTTTCAGGCTCGGGCGGCAGGAGTCTGAGGTCAGGTTTGGCAGATTGGTTTCTCCTGAGGCCTTTCCTGGTGGTCTCCAGATGACCACCTCACTGTGCCACCATGTGTTTATCCCTGTACCTGTGTCCTGAGGTCCTGTAAGGAACACAGGCCATGTTGCATCCGGGCCATCCCAGTGACCTTTTTAAAACTCTGTCACCTCTTTCAAGACCCCTTCAAAGCCGGGCACAACTGGGAGTGTGCACACCTGTCATCCCAGCAACTGGGGAGGCAAAGGCAGGAGGATCTCAAGTTCAAGCCCAGCCTGGACAATTTAGCAAGACCCTGTTTCAGTATTTAAAAAAATATATATTTTTTGGGGGGTGGGCGGTGTGTGTGTGTGTGTGTCAGTGGTACAGTTCCCCTGGGTTCCACTCCTGGTCCTGGAAAAATATCTGGGAAAACTGTATTCAATTCGGTGGTGGTTGGCACAGGCCTGTGATCCCAGCCACGAAGCAGGCTGAGGGGAAGGTTTGCTGGTTGAAGGCCAGCCTCACCAACTCAATGAGGCCGTTTCAAAGTGAAAAATAAAAAGAGCCAGGCTCTGAGGCCCAGACCCGAGGACCCCGAGTTCAATGCCAGGCCTCAGCAACCCTGAGGTGCTAAGCAACTCAGTGAGACTCTATCTCCAAATAAAATGCGAAATAGGACTGGAAATAGGAGACTCTATCTCCAGAGGTTGAGCGCCCCAGAGTTCAATCCCCTGTATTCCCCCGCCTCCCCCAAAAAGGGATGGTAGTGGTTGTGGCTCAGTAGTTCGGTATCCATGGGATCAATCCATGGAACCAAGTAAATAAATATAATAAATTGAAAAAGGGGTGATGGTGGCTAGGGATGTGGCTAAGTGGCTAAGTGCCCCTGGGTTCAACGCTGGCACCAAAAACCAACAACAAAAAGTCTCCCTGCCCTGCATGGTCAGCGCAGGTTCACCCAGATGTGCTTTGGCGGCACCAAGGGCTCCATTTCTATTAACTGGCCCAGCCTTCACAGTCCGAGTTGCTCCCCCCTACGCTTTCCTTTGGTCTCTTTTTCACCTTGATGGTCACACAATCTGCGCCAGCGCAGGGCTGGGCGCAGAGACCCCGGCGTCGGCCAGCCACCCTGTCCCGCGTCCCTCCAGGTTGGGCATCTGCCGGCTGGGCTCGGCCGCCTGCGCGGGTCTCTCCGAGGTGCTGCGCCTCAGCGCCCGCCTCCGCGACCTGGATCTGAGCTTCAACGACCTGGGAGACGGGGGCTTGCGGCTGCTGGCCGAGGGGCTGCGGCACCCGAGCTGCAGGCTCCAGAAGCTGTGGTGAGTGTCCGCGGCGCGAGGGCGGCTTCGGGGGGCGGGAGCGTCCTCCCTGCCGGGTCCTGTTTAAGGGACAGCCCTCGCTCACCCGGAAGGTCCACGTGACCGGTGCCACAGCCGCGGCCAGGGTCCCGACGGTTCGTACTGGCCCGAGGGCAGCGGCAGGTAGCCTCGTCATTCCATCAAGCCTGGACGATGCTGTGTGTGTGTGTGTGTGTGTGTGTGTGTGTGTCCCGTGGGCCGATCCAGGCCTTTTAGTACCTTCTTGCCCATGACATCAGGCTCCTTAGGTGGCTCAGAGGTAGCTTTCGTGGCCTTCCGCCCCCGGCACTGAAAAAACTAGGACTTCCCCAAAGGACGTGCCGGACGTGGCCTGAACCGCTCTGCCCCCCACAGGCTGGACAGCTGCGGCCTCACTGCCCAAGCCTGTGAGGATCTGTCCCCCACGCTGGGGAGCGCCCAGCACTTGACCGAGCTCTACCTGACCAACAACGCCCTGGGCGACGCGGGCGTGCGGCTGCTCTGCCAGGGGCTCAGACACCCGCGCTGCCGGCTCCGAGTCCTCTGGTGAGCGGTGGCCCCTGGCTCTCTGGAGGGCAGGACACGGGTTTCCAGCAGGCAGCCTCGCGTTAAGCACTCAGACTCCCAGCTTGGAAAATGCGGAGGACTCCTCTAGAGCTGCAGAGGTCTTCCCGAGCTCCTAGTGCAGAGAGGAGGCGCTCCTGCGCCCCCTGCTGGCGCAGCCCTCGCCCTACTCCCTGAGCAGAGCAGCCACCAAGGCTCAGCGGGACCCCTGCTCTGCCTGGGTTCAAGTGCCCTGGCTGCAACTAGGTGACACATTTTCCAAGTTATTCAACCACTTGGCACCTTCCACACCTGCCTCAGTAGGAGGGAAGGAGCTGCTTCTTCCTGGGGTTATCAGAATTAAACTATTGAGGCCCATAAGATGGGGAGGAGGGCCAAGGGTGGTGCACTCCTGTACCCCAGGTCTCAGGAGGCCCAGGGGGATGGGAGGTTCCAAGCCAAGCCAGGTGTGGAGCTAAAGCCTGCAGTCAGGGCAGCAGGGTGGGGGTTGGGGGAGTGAGGCAGGAGGACCCAAGTTCAGACCAGTCTCAGCCACTTAGCAAGGCCCTAAACAAGTAAGGAACTTGGGAGACCATCTGCAAGTAAAAAATAAAGGGGCAGGGGATGTGACTCAGTGTTAAGAGCCCCTGGGTCCAATCCTGTACCAGAGAGGAAGTCCATAGTCAGCCTCAGCAACTTAGACCTTGCCTCTGGATAAGTAAATAAAGGACTGATGATGTGGCTAAATGGCAGAGGGCTGCTGGGTTCATCCCCCATGACTGCAGAAAAGGAGAAAAATCAAAGCAGAGAAAGGACTGTGGGGTGTAGCTCAGTGCCTAGAGCGCTTGCCTAGCCCCCAGAGGCCCAGAAGGAGGATGGCCAGTTGGAGGCCATCCTGGGCCTCTGAGACCACATGGGAAAACACAGGGCTGAGATGTGGCTGAGTAGGGCAGCAGCCCAGGTCAGACCGCTCCCCACCCCACTGGGAGCAGCAGAGAGCATAGACTAGCCTGTTGTCTAGTTGAGTCAGGGTCACTAGAAGGTAATGGAATTACTTCCCCAGATCAAGGTGCACAATATTGGGCTGGGGAAACAGCTGTGTGGTAGTGGGCTTGCCTGCTGAGCCCAAGGTCCTGGATTCACCCCAACATCCAAAAGAACAGCTCCCCCCAAAAGCACAATAGCTCAGACCTACCAGCCCCTCCTTGTTATAGTAGTGGAGGACAACAGCATCTCCCACTCTTGTCCTCAGGTTGTTTGGGATGGACCTGAGTAAGACCAGCCACATGCGGTTAGCAGCACTTCGCAGATCAAAGCCATCCTTGGACCTGGGCTGCTGAAGGTTCTGCCCTGCACTCAGGAAGACGCAGTGACGGACACTTCCTAGGCCACAAGGACCAGAGTCTTCAAACTGCACGCAAAAAGCTCTTTCAGCTTGGGATCTTGTGATCAGCCTTTGATGGAACTTTCATGTCTTTAAACACAGGGACTTGGCACACTGAGGACACAAGAGTTCCAAACCCACCTCAACTACCTACTAAAAAACCCTGTGTCAGTAAAGGCTAAGGATGGGAGGTGTGGATCAGTGGTTAGATTCTTCTGGGTTCAGTCCCCAATAGCAACCCATAATAGGGGGTATAAAATCCCAAATGGTTAGAAGGCTACTTTGCCCTCCAGAGAATGCTTGCCCAGGTCAGCAGATATGGTGACCATGGGGTGGATGTGAAAATTCATGCCCAGAACTTAATGGAGTAACCCAGTTCAAGCTTCCAGTGATGCTGAAGAATCAACAGACCAGCACCAAGAGTTTATTAAAAACAATGTTCAGTGGGCTGGGGATGTGGCTCAAGTGGTAGTGCGCTCGCCTGGCATGCGTGTGGCCCGGGTTCGATCCTCAGCACCACATGCAAACAAAGATGTTGTGTCCGCCTAAAACTGAAAAATAAATATTAAAATTCTCTCTCTCTCTCTTAAAAAAAAAAAAAGACAATGTTCACCTGGGTTCTAATTCCTGCCTGCAACTCCAACTACTTAGCCCAGGTTGGAGGATGTCCAGTGCAGAGAACCACCTTCCCAAGCAGATCTCAGCAATGGCTAATTTCAGGTGCAGGACAGGCTGAATAAGTTGTCTGCAGGGCATGCCAAACAAAGTTAGCTGCAGGATGACCTGGCCACCCATACCCTCTGTCTGGTTTTTTATCACCTGTTTGCTTCAAGCCCAAACGCCCAAGCCCCCGCCCATCAAGGCTGAACACTTAACCCCCTTGTGTGCCAACAAGGCAGCTTGCAGAACCAGAGACCTCATTAGATTTGGGCTATGAAAACTCCCTCCTGCCGGACCCCTCTCTCTTGCTCTTTCTCTTGCGCTCTCTCTCTCCCTCTCTCGCTCTCTCCCTCTCCATCTCTCCTCTTCTCTTCTCTTTCTGCTCCCCCCCCCTCTTTTTCCTTTCTCTCTCTCTCTTTTTCTCCTCTTTTGCCCGGCTGCAATAAAGCTCTCTTGGTGGCTCTGAGTGTTGTGGTCACTTTCCTTTCAGCTAAGCCTCTGGCAGTTCCCCACATTCCCAGTCTCCCTTAGGGGCCCTTTGAAAACAGGGATCAAAGGCACAGGGAACCCAGATAACACTGAAAGTCTGTAAAAACTCTGAATTCCAGGCTGGGGATGTGGCTCAAGCAGTAGCGGTGTAAGGGTCCGGCGAAGCGTCAGAGAAAGAGACCACCAAGAGACCACTCATGCAATTGGCAGAAGGGGATTTATTGATCCAGCATGCTGGGGCTCCGTGCCCACTTGAGAAGGGAAAGCAGCCCAGAGCCCCGAGCAGGGGCTGAGCACTGCTTAAGTACACTTTTTTGGGGAGGGCGGGGATTTTACATACATCACAGTTTCCTTTAACAAATCATCATACACCATGGGAAAATCAAACAACAATTCTGAGACATGATTAGTTCATTCATTGGTGGGAACAGGTCGGGCGGGGGTGATAGGTCAGTTCTAAAGTGGGGTACACATTCAAACTGATTGGTCCAGGCCCTGTGATGCCTACGTGCAAGGCCACACAGAGCCCTTAAGTTATTAAACAACCAGGCGGTCAGGGGAAATATTTACTGGGTGGTTCCTAGCATTGTCTTAACAGCTACAGGAATTTCAGGTTTTGCATGTAGCATAGGAACTTAACGATACCTGGTCCTTTACTTTTTAACTCAGGCCTTGCAGCTTAGAAACTTTACAATGCCCGGTCTTTTACACTTTAACTTCAATTTCTTTTACCCTTACAGCGGTAGCGCGCTCGCCTGAGATGCGTGCAGCCCGGGTTCGATACTCAGCACCACATACAAACAAAGATGTTGTGTCCGCCAATAACTAAAAAATAAATATTAAAAAAATTCTCTCTCTCTCTATCTCTCTCTCTCTCTCTCTTTAAGAAAAAAACAAAAAACAAAACAAAAAAAAACTCTGAATTCCCTCTGTAGCTGAAGGGTTAGGATTGGACATTTCCCCAATTGGAACATTAAAGTCAAAACCATCAGTTGCTGAGCAGGGTGACACATGCCTGTAATCCCAGGCAACTCAGTGAGACCCTGTGTTGTAAGGGTCTGGCTAACGTTGGAGGAAGAGACCACCAAGGGACCGCGACTCATGCAACAGCAAAAGGGGTTTATTGAGATTCCAGCATGCTGGGGCTCCATGCCCACTCGAGAAAGGAGAGCAGCCCAGAGCCCAGAGCAGGGGCTGAGCACTGCTTAAGTACACTTCTTGGGGAGGGCGGGGACTTTACATACATCACAGTCCCCTTTAACAAATCATCATACACTGCGGGAAAATCAAACAACAACTCCTAAACATGACTAGTTCACTCATTGGCGGGAACAGGTCAGGCTGGAGTGATAAGTCATTCCTAAGGAGGGGGTTACATTCAAACTGATTGGTTTGGGCCTTGAATGCCTACGTGACAAGCTGCACAGGGTCTTGAATGCTTACGTGACAAGCTACACAGAGTCCTAGGCTATAAATCAACTAAATGGCCAGTAGGGCATTGTCTTAACTGCCTCAGGAATTTAACCCATGCTTTGCAGTTTAGAAGCAGGTTTACAATGCCTGGTCCTTTACATTTTAACTCAGGCTTTGCAGCTTAGAAACTTAACCCTTTCAGTCTCTAAATAAAACACACACAAAAAGGGCTGGGAATGTGGCTCAGTGGTTAAGTAACCCTTGGCTCAATCCCCAGTATGGGGAGTGGAGGGTGGGGGGTGGGGGGGAAGGGAGGGTGGGCCACTAGAAATTAGGCATATTGAAAATAGGATAGAGTTAAGGGTCACAGCTGGGCATCCAGAAATAATGCCTCTAGGGGAAACCAGATTCCCATTTCATCCCTGCCTGTCCTGTTTAGTTGAGGAGCAGAGTGGGGTCCCAGAGACAAGCGTTCTCTACCCCCACTACTGACCCCCTCATTCAATATACTAGACTTATTTTCTTTTTTTTTTTTTTTTTTTAAAGTTTTGCAAAAAATATTTTATTTCTTGTTCTTCTGAAAATTCTTGGAAAAATATGGAACGCTTCACGAATTTGCGTGTCATCCTTGCGCAGGGGCCATGCTAATCTTCTCTGTATCGTTCCAATTTTAGTATATGTGCTGCCGAAGCGAGCACTAGACTTATTTTCATGTGAAGAATTAGCTTAGGCCAGGGTGGGCAGGTGCTCAACCCTGTAAGAGACTCAGGAGACCAAGGGAGGACATCAGCAATTCCAGGCCAGCCTGGACCATTTAGCTAGACCACCTCTAAAAGGCTAGAGATGTTTCTCAATCCCAGGAATCAAAGACAAAAGAATTAGCTCACTATGGGGGCACGGAGTGTGTGTGTGTGTGTGTGTGTGTGTGTGTGTGTGTGTGTTGCTGGGGATTGAACCCAGAGCCTTGTGCGCAAGAGACAAGCACTCTACCAGCTGAGCTACATCCCAGCCCCATGAAGTCTTATTTTTGAGGGCTGGACGGCAGTGTAGAAGTCACATACACCTAGAAGGGTGGCTGTGGAAGGTCAAAAGGCACACTGGCTCCCGGACGTCCCCTCAAACAACAACACTCAAAACAGAAGCACTTTCCAATCCTGACCAAGGCAAGTGCCTCCCTTTGGGCCTCACTGTCAGAGCCTTTAACTCAAGAAAAATGGCTCTTGCAAAAAATAAGGCTGTCTTGCATGCTAGGGGTGGACTCCTGCTTGGAAAGGACTACAATCTTAATAGACCCCACTTAAAATACAAAGTAGCAACAAACAAGTCCAAGCTTAAATACAAAGTAGCAATAGGTTAAATTTATGTAAGTTTAAATACAAAGTAGCAATATCAGCTCAGCTTGCCCCAGGCCTGAAGTCACAGCAGCCCTGGGGGCTGAGGCAGGATCACAATTCATCACCAGACTGAGCAACTTGGTGAGTGTGGTGAGCCGCTTCTGCCGTTTCTGCAGACTATGGTTGCCATTACAAGATGGCGCTGGCTCCGCTGTGGTCTGTGACAAACAACTCCTTATTTGGGAGAGTTGGCGCATGGTTTTTCACCACCCTATGAGAAAGCTCCACATGGCAGCTTCGCATTGGGGCTTGAGATGCTTTATTAAGGCTGGGAGGGGCATCCGAGAAAAAGAAGAGAAAATATCAAGGGCCTGAATAAACTGCTGAAAGAAGATTCCTGAGTTGCGTCTTCCTTGCGGGCAAGGGGTCGCGACAGGTGAGAAAGGCTCAGGAAAGGAATAATAAAAGGGTGGGGTTGAGCAGTTGTTATGCTTGAATTCGGGACCCCCAAAGACCACCAGAGACCCAAGATCGGTGTAAGCAGCAAAGAGGTGTTTATTGCGAGCTAGCTCGGTCCTCCGTGCACACACACAGCAACTGGTGATGCTGAGAGGCCCCGAGCCCAGGGTTTGCAGCAGTTTTATACATTCTTTGGAGAGGGCAGGGACTTCACATACATCATAGCAAATTATCACACACCGCGGGGAAATCAAATAACAACTCTAAAACATGATTAGCACATTTACTGGCAGGAACAAGTTGGATAGGGGTGATTGGTCAGTACAAAAGGGGTATTCATTTGAACTGATTGGTTTAAGCCAAGAGGGGTGTACGTGCTGAACTACATGGTTTCCCAACTTGTTATCAACCACCATAAACCACTGGGAGGGTTATCTGGCATCCCAGGTATTTCCCTGTCTCATGCTGATTGGTGGCTGCTAGGGGGCTGCTATGGGTCCCCACCTAGCCTGACTGAGTCAGGGACACCTGGCAGATAACAGCAGATCTCTCCTGTTATTTGTAGATAAACAACTTAGCAGGGTGGGAATGTGCTTAGGAGTGCTCTGTGGGTCTTTCCAAGGACTAAGGTCATGTCCCTTCCTTGGACAGGCTTTGCTCTGAGGTAGAGGCTGGTTTTTCACAGTAACTTAATAATAGTTTATGAATCCAATCTAAGAGTAAAGGCTTAGATCAGCATTAGTTCCCAAATCAATATGACCATAAAGTCCTTGAGATGGGATCTCCCTGGGTCTCCCAGGCTGGCCTTGGTGCGTGCCACCACCCATGGCCACTGGGAGCACTTCACAGGAGGCTTCCACTTCATAGCCAGATCTGCAGGTGCTCAGGTCCTGCCAGGTGGGGAGACCTGCTCACTACCACCATGTGACATCCTGCAACACAGTGACCTTTCCCTTTTCAGAGGGAACCTCCTGCATTGCAGCTGGGAGCTTGTACTGTGGTGCAGCTGCTTGAACAGAAGGCACCACCAGGATTGGGCTCATGTGTCCGCACCCCAGGCCACACTCAACCATCCTCTTAGTACTTCCCATGCAGGTTTTTTCTCCTTCTTGGCCACCATAACACGGGTAGCAATGTCCACCAGGCCCTTGAGTCCTGTGCTGCCTCACCTTAGCCTAGAGCAATGCAGTCAAGGGGCCATGGATACATCTGGAACCAAGAGCCAAACACTCTCTCCAGGTTGCCAGGTGTTGTGGTCAGAGCTGCACAGAGCTGACAGTCAATTATGTTCAAGGTTCTAGGGTCCAAAGAAGCTCCCACATGGAAGGCCAGGGCCAGCAGCAGCAGGACTGGCTCAGGGGTGCCCCTCTGTTGTTCAAAGGGGAAAGTGCTTCTGTTTTGAGTGTCGCCCTGGGACAAACACAGCCTTGGAAGAGTTTTGTTTGGACTCAGGTCTTGCTAAGCTGCTGAGGCTGCCCTGGAACTCCCTGTGCTCGGCCTCAGCTTCCGGGCTAGGATTAGAGGGGAGCGCCCACTCCCACTCAGGGGCTGAAAGGCCACGTGACGACGTCTCATCTTCCACTTCACCCAGGTTTTCATTCTTGCTACTCAAAGCTACATGACCAGAAATGTTTCCTAGAACATTGCTTTAAAGGTCTTAATTTGCTTTTTCTAGAATGTCAAGCTTCCCACATATAACATAGGACCCTTCTGTTCCCTGGCTCTGGTAAATGGGGTACTTTCTATAACATATGCTAAGTCTCCTATTTTT